AAAATGTTAGGACGCCGTCGCCGCCAAACAACATTTCGAGAAGAGAGTACTATATTCTCTCACAAATGGACGCCGTCATTGCCTGCCCATGCTGCCGCCGCCATTCATTCACATACCAAAAAAGTACAGTCATCACAAAAACATATGGAGAAGCAAATTGTTTTGTTTGTTGTGAGAAAGAGGAATGAGAAAAAACAAAACAAAAGCCGCTAAAAACATATGATTCAGCTGTGGCCAGCAAAGTGACGCGCCGGTGACGGCCATACACACACACACTCACTCATACATTTTAACGTAGAATTATTGCAAGAGAATGAAGCAAAAAAACTGAAAGTACTAAAAAACAAAATACGTTTGGTTTTGTTTTGATTGTATACTTGCTCTGCTTGCTTGTTCGTTTGTTCTTCTACTTGAGTATTATAAATAAAAATTCCAATATCTTGTTGTTGTGTTTGCTGCTGCTGTTGATTGTTTTTGTTGTGGAGACCAAAAACAACTGGCTGGCTGTTCTGGCTACATTGTTGCAGTACAATTGTTGTTGAGCTGTTTTTTTGTTAATTAAGATATTTTGTAAACAGTTATAATGCCACACAGATACAGTTTTTATTTACATATGCAGCTGTTTTTCATTTGGAATATGTATTTACACACACGCTCAGTTTTGAATATTTGCAAAATGATAAAAAAATCGAGGAATAATAGTTTTTGAATGGTGGGGGTACAACTTGGTTCACTTAAAGGTGTTGTTTGCTAGTTCGCTGGGGTTCCACTTTGACCTAACATGACCTTTGTTTGCATTTTTTTTCCACAGTCAATTTGTTTTTTTTTTTCGGCCCTGCCATTACATGGGTTTTTTCCATATTTGTTCTACTTTTCATTTCGTTTTTCTATCATAGTTTCTTAATTTAAATAAATCTGGGATTAAGGTTCCGGAATTTCCAAGAGATTTACTGATTTTGTATATTGTTTTTATATTAGTCCATGTTTTACTTGATCATATGATAATCATTCCCGCCTTTTTTTATTAAAAATTGACAATTTGTTGTGATGTCTCTAGAAGAGAGAGAGATTGCAAGGCACTATTTTAAACGGAAATTGTTAAGCAACACATGGCTGTTAATTGGCGTTAGAATTGCTTATTGAAGGATATCATTTTTTATGCTAACTCCTCTGTGTTAAGATTTGCAAATTCATATTTTTCCTGTTTTACTTAGCCATATGCAATCACTTCCCGCCTTTTTAATCACTGACAAATTGTTGTGATTTCTCTCTTGATGATCCAATAAGTCAGTAGTCACACGGGCAAATTTTGTGGTAAAGTAAATTGAGTTTATGGGCGAAAGAGGTGAGTGGAATAAAAGGGGGTACATACATACTTGTACTCCGCAATTCTCTTTTGTTTCGTTATTCGTTGTAAACAACTGAAGTTGGCTGCAGAAAACTTTTGCATTTTCTTTCATTTTATTTTTTCTATCGGCAAACATCAAGGCAGTTATTATAATTAAAACCTTTTGCGAGAAAAAAACTACATAACAGATCTTCATTCTACGGCTATAGCTTCTTCGAGTAATTCAAAACTTCTTTTTATAATTGTTTTTTTCTTTTAATTCCATTTTTTAATTTTCATGAACAATGGTCAAACGAGAAAATGAGTGTGTGGAAGAATAAGAAAATTCATAAATTTAATGCAAGGGTTATTTGCGTGTCTAAACAACACTGCAATTTTTAAAGAAATTGAGAAGAAAATTTGTCATGAAATTTTGCACGTGTGACTACTGACTAACAAATGACAAGCAACACATGTGTCTCTTAATTGATGGAGAATTTCATTCTTATTCTCCCACTATTATAAGTTTTCAATATACATATATTTCGTTTTGTTGTTAGTCCTTTTTTAGTCCTCCTCTTTATTAATATTTCACATTTACACAAGTCTTACTTGCCCACAGCGTGACCGTTGTGCCACTAAAGTGGCAATTTTGCCACTTTTTTTCGCCTTTGCTACTTTTGTGATACTTTTTCATTTTGATACAAAATGTGCCACTTTTTGAATTTTTGTGAAACTTTTTGTTACTTTGTGCCACTTTTTTAAAAAAGTACATAAATTAAAGCGATTTTTCATAAAACATAATGATTTGTTTTGTAATATTGTATCAGACGGAGCGATTTTAACTAGGTTGCGTTTTTTAACAGACTTAGCAATTTTTAACTAGGGTTCAGTTTGTAACAGACGGAGCGATTTTTATTTTTATTATTAGGTCGCATTCGCATTTGTGTGTTGGTATGTTCCCGTACTGCAAGAATCTACTAGATTTTACTATTTTTCGATAACATAAAGGAAAATTCGTTATCGTAGTAAAAAGTAGTAGATTGTTGCAGTACGGGAGCAGACCATGTGTGTTTCGGTTTGTAGAATTTTCGATTGCTATTTTTGAATAACAGCCTGTTTTTGTAAAATTCCAAACGAACGAATTCGAGTGACTTACGACCAAACTCCATGGTTTTGAAAAATATGTCATTTATAAACGTAAATAAAGGTTTGGTCGTAAGTCACTCGAATTCGTTCGTTTGGAATTTTACAAAAACAGGCTATAAGTAGTTAAAAAATAAATGTTATTCAATAACAATATATTGGCTGTTCCCTTGCTGCAAGAATCTACTGCTTTTTACTACGATAACGAATTTTCCTTTATGATATCGAAAAAAAATAGTAAAATCCAGTAGATTCTTGCAGTACGGGAACAGACCAATAGTATATACCGCTTATATATTGTAAGAATATGTGATTTTATTTAGTTTTTTTTCAGTTTACTGTATATTAAAATACACATAAATGAATTATTTGTAATGTTTTATACATGGTACAATTATAAAAGGTAACAGCAAATCCCAGCTGATTTGATTCCAACGTAATACTAGTGTCAATATGAATTTGACAAATTATGTTTTAAAAAATCACACAATAGGAAAATTGGGAACGCATACAATTTGAATTTGTTCTTTATTAAATGTGCTCATGTATTCAATTTACTCAATCTGCCTGATGGGAAAGTTTGAGGAAGCAAATCTTTCTTCAAGGAATAACTCGCTATTACCAGCATTTTCATATGTGTTACACATATATATGGCAATGAAAGACATATTATAGGAAAGATGTGGAAGCGATAGAAATATAAAGTTGAACGATTTTCATTCATGTTTTTCAATTTTTATTTTGAGGATTCGAAATTTTTTCATTTTCAAAATAAAAATAATTTCATGAAAATTTGTTTGTTTACATTTTTCTGTCAAATGAGTTGACACTAGTAGAACTTACAACAACAAATTTCCATGTGGTTGTTGTATCGTTTTTTGTACAACAACACTTGCTGTTACCTTCTATTATTATACCATGTGTTTTATATAGTTTTTTATTAAATAAAAAGCAAAAAAAGTGTGCCACTTTTTGTGACACTTTTTCAGAAGTTATGTGCTACTTTTTTTAAAAAATGATACTTTTTGTGATACTTTTTGAAAATTTTCAGCGGTCACGCTGCTTGCCCATATGATAACAACTTCCCGCCTTTTAGGGAGGCAGTCATTAGGTGTGTCTGGTTACCCTAAAGTTTGTAACAATTGTTACAAATTGTTACTGGAAGTCGTCTGTTAACCCAAAAGTTCTGCAAAAGAGAGCGGTTGGAGAGAGAAATTTTGACAGTTCTTTCAGTGAGAGTTTGCAAATTCTTGCTGGAAAAATTTCTTCTTGCAATCTCTTGCAACTCTTCTTCTTCTCATACATCGACATTCAATCAGATGTTTTCTATTGTTTGTTTATTTATTTTTGTGCTTTCAATTTGAAAATAATTTTTTTTGGAATTAGCAAGACTAATTGTTTTTGTTTTTGTTAAACTGGTTGTGTTTTCTTTCTTTTAATTCTTTATAATGGCGGACAAATTGGTTTGTTTTGACAAATCAGCTGATTAGTTGCAAGCTTCTGCAGGGATGCCGTCTGTTTACTTTTCGCATTTTTCTTGCAAAAGAGAATAAAACTACCTTACTCTCTCAGAAAGAAGTTACTGGACAATTCCTGCAGGGAAAGTAACCAGACACACCTATTGACAACAAAAGAGAGAGAGAGACTTGCATCAACTTTCAATTGACAAGCACAACATGATTGCCAAGTGGCGGGGGAAGAACTGCAAGGATTATTTTTTCAAGGATTTATTATTTAAATTGTCTGTTTTATATAGCTATTTCTCTTTTAGTAGTAATATTTATATATTTTTAAATTTATTTCTTATTTAATCAAGTCTTGAGCACTTTCCGCCTTTTATATTTGTTTACAAATTGTTTTAGGAATTGGCTTGAAAGAGAGAGAGAGACTTGAATTGCATACTTCACGTAGAAATGACAAACAAAACATGATTGCCAATTGGCGGGAGAAATTCTTATTGGACAATTGAAATTGTAAGAAAGAGCGAAGGAGAGACTTTCGTTATAATTGACAAGCAAGGCATGTCATGAATCTTCTTCTTATGATTAATCATTTAATATATTATCCCACCTTTAAGTCGATAAAATTAAAAGGACAAATTAAAGAATATAAATTCAAAGCAATAAATATATTTATTGGTAATAAAGAGTAAATTTCTTATTAAAAGGAATTTCTTTGTGTTGTAAAATGCATTGAAAGTGAGATGGATGATAGATCACTTTAGAGAGAATAATGATGTCTCTTATCAAAAGGAAAGAAGTCAGTGAAACAAACAGCTGTTTTAAAAGAACTCGGCGAAGGAATACAAATAAATTTAATTTTAATATTTTTATCTTCTAATTAATTAGAACGTGGAACAGAGGTGGAATTTCTTCATGCATTCTCGAAGGTTATCAAGTTGATTTTAATGTGATATCCTGTGAATGAAATTTATGTCTGATCTTATTTGTGAATACAAATATTTTTTATATTATTTTTATTGATTTGAAAAACTAACCACAATTGTTATTTTCTCCTTCTCTTTTAGGCCGCTATCCTACAACAAACTTCCCAATATATTTGCGAATTGGAAAATCAAAAAACACAATTATTGGCACAAAATAGCCAACTGAAACGACAGTTGGGACAACATGAAGCAACAGGTGGTGGCGGCGGGGGTGGTAACAATACCGGCAGTCAGGACAATACAACAACCACCGCAGAGAATAACTCCAATATTGCCATTAAGAAACGTAAACTAACCGATAATGTTGCAAATGTGGCACAAACAATAAGCGATTCATCCGACGAGGGTTTGGGTTCAATGTCACCCGAACCAATGACACTATTAAATGCTGCTGCCGCTGGTGGTGGCAGCAGTGCAGCTGTTGCAGCTGCTGCTAATGCCGCCGCCAATGCTGCCAATACAAAAGCTCAAATCCTTTTGGCTCAAAATATCAAAGAGTTGACGGAATTGAAGGATCAGCTATTTAAGGAACGACGTCTGCGTACAATGTTGGAGGAGGAGCTACAAATGATTAAGCGACAGCTATATTCAGTGGCAACAGCGCCGCAACCCACGGCCGTTGTTGAGGCCGACGAGACAGACGGTACCGCCACCACCACCCACACCTACATTCCCCGCGAAGTTATTGAACACACTGGTAATTTGTTGCGCGGTGATGACTGTGAAGAATTTTCATATGTAGAAATCGATGAGCTGACGGGTCAACAACAAGTTGTTGTCTGCTCCAGCATTGAGGAGTTGGATAGCGAAACAGCTGCCGCCGAAATCATAACCGAGGATCATGTCCACGAAGAGGTGGTGTTGTCATCATCATCCACCGAATCGGAGCAAGAAGTTGCTGTCAATGCCATAGCCAAAGTTTATGCCGAAGGTAATACACCAACTCCCGCCATGTTACAGCCAATTTTACAGGCCGCCATTAAAGCAACACCCAAAGTGGAGGTGGAACGTATATCGGATGCTGCTTTGAAAAAGGTGAAGACGGAAAAAATCGAACAGACCAGCGGTTTGACACGTTCACGGCAAAATCTCGAGACAATTGTGGAGGCAATACGCCATTTGGAAGGCGATCACCTCTTCACCGACAGCAATGGTGAACAGCACAAAGTTGTGGTACAAACACAGTCCGTGCGAGGAGCAGCCGGACAAGAAGTTCCTTTGGCGTTGACAACCAAACAGCATGTTGTGGCCCAGCGTAAAACCTTGGCCGAGCTGAGACCGTTTCTACAACTGAAGGGCGGTAGTAAGATTTTGACGATTGGTGGTGCTGGTGGCAGTACTGCTTTGACGCTGACAAAAACCACTGTTCCCAGTAAATTGGCCAGCAGCAGTACAACAACAGTAGGGGGCGGCAGTAGTAGTAGTGCCGGTAGTACGGTGGCCTCACACAATGTAACACCCACCGCCATCTTTAAAGTTCAGACAAATTCATCGAATGCCGCAGGCGGCACCACAACCATAACACATGGCTGTGCCACCACATCAACAACAAGCGGTGGAACGGGATCCATAAGCACCACAGCACTGAAACAATGTCGGCCAGGTGTTATTGTGGCAAAGAAACTGTCTTGATTTCGCGGCCAACAGCAAAGGAAGAGTGCTGCTGTCGCAGACGGAGAAGAAGAATATGAAAATACCGAGGAGGATAAAGAAGAAGAGCAACAACAACAAGGAATTCAGTTAAACGCATTGCAAATGAAGAAGAAAAATAGCAAAAATCCAGATTTAGTTACGGAATTCCCCAAAATGAGGATGATGATGGTAGTGGACAAACACACAACTACCACCACCACCCCCCTAGATATTTTGAATGTTAATGAAAATGAGAATTTAACTGCAAGTGGAATTAATAATCAACATGATGACGATGATGATGGTGATGATGAAGAGGAGAATGGTCAAGAGGAGAATAGTGATGGTGATGACGAAAACCATCACCAAGAACAACAAGTCATGTATAAAATAGATGAAATGTTTGAAGAAATCTTAATTGAATCGGATGAGGTAGTAGATGTAACAACAACAACCGAAGATGTTGACTCCTCGAATTGTCCTCTTTTGGAAATAACATCAGCAGCAGCGTCCTCCTCCTCCTCATCAACACCATCATCATCATCACCGTCAACACCGTCTTCATTAGCCACTGCTAATACTGTTAATCAGGATAATGATGAAATACCATTAAAATCGAATAATTTCAATAATTCTAATACTGCTAATTGTATGAATCATACAATGCCAACAAAAACAACAACACTTTCTTCAGATGCATCCACAAATCCTAGCAACAACAACTGCAACACCAACAGTAACAGTAATCTAATGATGATGAAAATGTTAAAGAAAACAACCAATAACAAAAATAATAAACCTAATAATAATAATACAATACCATGTATTTTGAAAACAACAACCACTACTCCTTTAAAAACTAAATATTATATGAGTAATTCTAGTAGCTATAATAATATTAATAATAAGTTGTTTAATAATAATTATGCTAGTTTTAAAAATAATTCTAATTATAATATAAATAATAATAAAATTAATATTAATATTAATAACAATAAAAATATTAATAATTTTAAGTTTAGTATTAATAAAAATGTACATTTTTTAAATAATACTAAGATTGAAAAAACAAAAAATAACAACAACAAAACCTATAGTAATAAATTTACAACAAACCCCAATTCTATTATTGCAACAAAACACAACAACAACATGATGATGAAAGCAAATCCAAATAATTCAGACACAATTATAAATACCAGAAAAACAGCAACCACAAAAATTGATCCCAAAAACAACCAGAATGTTTCTTAAAACAAAGAATCAAGAAAAAATGGGAACCAACCACCATTTTTTTAAATTTTTTGAAAATTCCATTCTATGTGAATTATATATTTGCTGTAGAAATTTAAATTTCTTTTTAAAATTTCCAATATTTTTTTCATTTTTGTCTTATGAGGTTTTTTTAATTATAAATACAATTTTGTTATACTATTATTTATTACATTTTTTTTTAAATATGAAATTCAAAATAAAACTCCATTATTTTCGTCACGTTTTCGAAATTTCCCCACAAAACACACACGATTTTTTTTGTATTATGGGATGTTCATATTTTTTAGATTTAATATTTTTGAAAAAATATGCCTTATGGGAGTTCCACCTTCACCACACTGTCCTTACAGAGTATTATGTTTTTGGCCATATGTTTGTAACAGGGAGATAGATCCATGGTTCCTTTTGAGAATATGCATAGCATCACTTTCTGAGTCAATTTATGTATGGCCGTCTGTCCTCGCCTCTGATCTGATTGTCCAGTTTAAATTGTAAAAAAAGGTCGCATTTATTATTCGAATGATATGAATTTTGGCAAAGCTTATTTATTTGGTGAACATCGGTTCAGATTTAGATATAGGTCCCATATATATTTTCGTCCGATTTAATGTAATTGATGCACCAATGTCCCTATATATCTTTCGATTTGCATGAAATTTGGCATAGCGTACTGAATTAAGTCTAGTATGATGAGTGGTGAGTTTTGGGAAAATTGGTTCAGATTTAGATATAGCTCTCATATATATCTTTTTCGTCCGATTTAATGTAAATGTCGCACCAAAGTCCCTATAAATCGTTCGATTTGCATGAAATTTGGCATTGTTTACTGATATAAGTCTGGAATGATGTGTGTTGAGTTTGGTGAAAATCGGTTCAGATTTAGATAGAGTTCCCATATATATGGTCGTCCGATTTAATGTAAATGGTGTACCAAAGTCCCTACATATCTTTCGACTTTCATGAAATTTGGCACAGCGTACTGAATTCAGTCTAGTATGCTGAGAGGTTAATTTCGGGAAAATTTGTCCAGTTTTAGATATATCTCCCGTATACAACTTTCGATTCGCATGAAATTTGGCACAGCGTACCGTATTCACTCTAGAATGATGTGTGTTGAGTTTGGTGAAAATCGGTTCAGATTTAGATATAGCTCCCATATATATTTTCGTTCGATTTTATGAAAATATAGGACACCAAAATTTTTTGCAATTTGAACTCTTCATTCTCTTCAAAATATTGAATAAAAAATGTGGTAAAAACATTACGATGTAAAAAGTTCACGTGGGATACTTCTGTTTGCATAGGTCTATATATTTGTATGTCTTCAAAATGTTTAATAACTTAGCGGGGTAGTTATACCATAGAGTGTCTTCACTTTCGAACTTGAGATACGTTTAAAAGGACTCCTTTTTACAGTTATTGTGCGCAACAGTCATGACGCACAGAGATTTCGAAATCGACTACAAGCTGGCAGGAATCACCAGCTTACGTATCCACAAAGGCGCTTGGGATTTAGAAATTATATTACTATGTGTGGTGGACCGATAGTATCCACTTTCAAAACCGATATAAGTTCAAAAGGACTCCTGTCTCGGTGCAAAAAGAGTTTATTAAAACGAGTACAAACTGATGTCGGAAATCGAATTGGTCCCCCAGTGTTTTTGTAATGAGTTCCCAAACTCACTAGGAACTATACTGTACTATAGCGAATGATGTTTGAAAGTGAGGAATATATGGGATATACTAAAAAACGTGGATCAATCAGCCTTATTCTGGATATTCGCTGGGAGATATCTCGCATATAAAAAATTTTTCGCTTTCACATTCTCGCCTTATTCTGAATGAATAGGGAGACGCAAAAAATGCGAGATGCAGATTCGAGTTTTCGAAAATGGTGGTTGAAAAAAAGATTCGTGTTGCCATATCGTAAATTAAGTTGCGCTGTGTGTGGCCATATTGTAATTTAAGTTGCAATGTGTGTTGCCCCATTGTAATTTAATTGTGTAATATTTTTCAATATATTATTTATTGATTTTTGTTATTAAAAATTGTTACTTTTTATTGTTATTTAAACTTTATAGCAATACAAATGTGAAATATCAAGAATCCGCCGTATAAATGCTTTGTAATTAAAAGAAAATAAATTAAAGTTTGAAAATATGGCAACCTACAATATGGCATGTGAAACAGCTGTTCATTGTTTTGATGCAATTTGTTGCAACAACTACAATAGATTACAAATAAAAGAACATTTTTTTATGATGGCAAAAACACAACGAATAATAGGAAGAAATCTGCGATTTAATTAATTAATTCACAGTTTATTATTTCACTACATAATTGTGTGCATTTTTATTTAATTTTGATATTTTATCTCCCCAAATTCTTAAAGTGGTCAGTTATGTTATGATTTGCTGCTACTCCTTTATTTGTTCCTTCAAATCATGCACACGATAATTTTGAAAAAAAAAAAAATATTTTTTGTTCTTTCATAATTTTTATATCAGTTTTTCACTCTTAAGCGGCTCATCAGGCAAATTTGGTTTTTCCATAATTTTTAAAATGTTTTTCTTGAGAGACAGATCCTCACACAAATGTCTGTATTTCGCCTCCAAAATGCATCAAACTCGACTTAAATATTCCTTATTACCTTCATACATTCTTTGGCAGCATGCATCGTTATCAATAGGATTTCCAATGGCATTTTATTGGCTGTTTTCCAGTTAAAAATTTGCTTACTATCATTTATAATATTCTAAATCGTCATAGAATAAGTATTGTGTAAATATTTTTCATAAAAATAGTTATTACATATGTTTTTGTAGTCAACTCCCCTTAAATTTATTAGCGAAAAATTTCGCACAAAATTTCATCTCATCTGTAATTCAGAATACCTAATTTTTCGCCAAAGCGGATTTTTTCGCTTTCGAACTTCATTCAGAATAAGGCGAAAGCGAGAATGCGAAAAAATTCACTGGAAAATGTTGTTCAGAATAAGGCGAAGGGAAAGAGCGAGTAAATTCACATGGAATTGACATCTAGAATAAGGCTGTATATTTAAATGTTTGTTGTTATAACCTACACAACTATGTTGTCAAGATATTATGGCTTTGTGCAGCCCCAAGAGTTTGTAACGCAGCGAAATATTGGTTCTAGACCCACCTTTAAGTATACCGATCGTCATATCTCGACTACCTGAGTCGATCTTGACATGACGGACACACGTCCGTCCGCCTGTCCATTATAATTTGTGAACACGATACAGGTCACAGTTATGGACCAAACTTCACGACATTTTGCATGTAGGATGGGTTTTGGCCTATGAAGGACCCTTATTGTTGTTGGTACCAAATACTTAATTTGTTTTCTTGTCGCGAACATTGCGAAATTTTACCACATGGAAGAAGAATAAGCATGTCAGTT